TTTAGGGTTTAGGGGTCTAGTGGTTTAGGGACTGACGGGCCTGAGGTTTACGGACTTAGGGTTTCGGCTGATGGACACGATCCTGCATCACGAATACTAAGGAAAACGTCCAGAGCAAGGTAATTCTAAACCATAAGCTGCAATCCTAATCCTTATGCCCCAAGTTTTAGGCAAAGCAGGCTTTTTTTGTCCATCAACAGCTCCATGCTTGAAGCTTTAGCAGGTCAATGTCTTGGACTTGGAAGTTACAACCCTCAGCCCTCAACCTACTGATGATGATATAAATCCTGCATTATCTTGAGGACCCTAAACTATGGAAATTATGGTATATTCCTTATTTTGGGTAATGCAGGATTCATATCATCAAACGTATGAAGTTTATGGTTCGTGGTTGAAGCTTACGGTCTGGGGCTTAGGGCTCAAAGCTTTGCAACGCCGAGGGGGTAATCCTAGGATGTGGGGTTCGCGCTTCTGGGTTTAGGATTTCGGGATTAGCCCTAAACCCTAAACCCCTGAAGCCCTTGACCCCAAACTCAGGACATGTATGGCTCAGGGGCTTCCCAAAATCTAAACCCTGCCAATTAGGGCTCAGGGGTGTACGGTTGCATGGCTCTAGCTCCATAACCCAACCCTTTGTTCCAAGAAGGGCCCTGCCTTTATTTTTTTGGGGGAAACTTTTCCGGGTTAAAGGGCGGCTCCTTTATGGGATTTATGAGCCGACCATAGGGGTTTAGTACAGGAGCCTCAACAACTAAAGAGCAAGCGACGTGTGTAGGTTCCCCTGCTGATTGCCGTCTACATCTACGGTGAGTGCTTTTCAGGGTTCTGAAGCATCTTATTATCAACCTAGTATTGGTGATAACAGTTTTTGTATCTGTTCGGACTGTCATTAACATCATACTCTAAACCCTAAACCCTAAGCCCTAAACCGGAAACCCTAAACCCTAAACCCTAAACACAGTGGCGACCAGTCTTGTCAGGGCAGGCCGCGTCATTTTCCGGGCGAAGGCTGGACTTTCTCGCGTCCCGAGCCCGGGCGCAGGGTCTGTCCGACATGGGCAGCGTTGGGCGGAATGTCGGATCAGATAGCAGAAACATGAACCTCTGTGAAAGATGTTCCTTGGCCGATTCTCCGTTGACACATCTAGAAACCCACGCCCTGCCAGCGTAGCCCGATGAGAAAGGGTTAAGGCTAAGGGTTCCCAAAAACTCCAATATCCCTTAATTAAGGAATACACCTTAAATTATAGTAGCATCCCTAATATGATTTAAGGTATATCCCTTAATTAGGGATATACCTTAAATTATAGTAGCGTCCCTAATATGATTTAATGTAAATTCCTTAATTAAGGGATATACCTTAAAATATAGTAGGGATCCCCAATATGATTTAAGGTATATCCCTTAATCAAGGGATATTGGAGTCTTTGGGTTTAGGGAATGGAAAACTTGAACCCACATTCGCGGGCCCTGCCTACGGCTAAGCCGCCTTTCACGGTTCTTTTTTTTCAGTTGGGTTCGACTCTTTCGTGTCTGCCAAGCAAGGCTCCCAACAAAGCGCTGCTTCTTACAGCGCCCCCTAAAAGCGGAGAACAACACTTCCCTCAGCCCCCTCATCAGAAAACATGTAGTCATCCCTGAGCTCGTACTGCAGCATGCGATCGTTCAGGGCGCAAAAGAGGAACAGGTGGATGCCGAAGACAACCAGTGCCACATAGCCCACGAGCAAGCAACGAGGGTCCAGCACCCCAAAGAAAGCCAGGAGCTCCCCTCGGGTGTGCAGCAGAGCCAGGGAGTCAGCGAGGTCAGACACCATGGCGAAAAGGCACTACTCGTCCATGTGGCACCCATCCAGTCGGCACCAATAGCATTCACCAACTGCTCCCCCATCCAACATCCACTGGTTGTGGAGTCCACTCGTGTTAGTGAGGAAGTACAACACATCGACGGAGAACACATCCATGAAGTGCTCGTACATGTGGTAGAAGCAGTACTTCTCCTCCGGGTTGTACTGGTCCAGGTAGTGGAGGAAGTCGCCCCAGTCCCATTAGAGGTAGTGTGCAGCGAGGGACACAAGCCATCATCAGAAGGACTCTGTACGACCTCCACATTGTCACTCCCCACAGCACTGCTCATCTCCACACTGTTCTCCCCTCCATGGGCTGCTGCACACGTCCCGGAATGTCGAGATGCACGAGGGCTGCGACTACGTGTATGCCCCGCACCAGGCAACATCTGAGGGTTAACACTCGGTGGTAGTGCTTCAGGAAGAAGGTCTTGTTGTAGCCATGCATCCTCCAGGCATCTGTCCACAACCCTCTGCACCATCTCAGGTAGACCCATCCCAACTGACTCGCATTGTGCCAGAGCTCGGTCTCGCCCCTCTGTGGAAGTGGGGTGTTGCGGTTGACAGCAGGCAAGGCGAGCACGTAGTACATCTAGGATGGCTTCATTGGCTCGCCCAACTTCCGAAAGACAATACTGTAGTAATCCAACGACCCATCCACTTTCATGTCGACGTCCCAGCACTACATGTGTTGTGGCAGCAGCCAGTTCATCGAAGAGTTCAGACAATCTGCAGATCGTCTCCCTGTCCACCCCAGCCTCCTGCAGGTACTCTCCCTCGACATGGTTAAGTCGCTGCATGAGGGAATTGTCGTCCCCTTCTCGGTCCACCATTGTTGAAGTAATCGAGGAGCATGAAGACGTCCAACAGCTCGAAGTCACCACAGTAAAAGTAGTTGATGTTCTCGAAGTAGTGTCCAAAATAGAGGGCAATGTACTCACTGTGGGAAGGCATGGTTTAGGGCTTAGGGTTTAGGGTTTAGGGTTTAAGGTTTAGGGTTTAAGGTTTAATAGTAAGCCAGGAGCAGAGGTCACTCTATGGCCTCTGACACTATTCACCGCAGGCCCATGGGTCGATGTTTCAGGTTTGACGAGCAAAGCTGCGTACTGTAGGGGTCTAAATAAATACCTATACTATTGTGGGGGGTCCTTAGTATAACTATAGTATAATGGGCCCCAAAACCCTGCTCTAACCCTAAACCCTAAACCCTAAAATCCCTACTCCCTAAACCCCCAAACCCTAAACCCCAAAACTCTAAACCGATATCCAGAGTATAATGGGCCCCAAAAACCTGTTCTAATTATGGAGGCCCCTATATTAGAGACAGCTCCCAGAGAAGGTGTGTACATAGCGAGAATCGACCATGGCACTGTGCTGGTGGGGCAGTGCAGCTCTCAGGGGGGTTTTCATAGTTCGAAAAGGGGTTTATGTAAAGGAGTCTGTATAAGAAGGCTTAGGGTTTAGGGTTTAGGGTTTAGGGTTTAGGGTTTAGGGTTCAGGGAGGAATGGTGTTGGTAAGTGTCCCAGGCTGTGTAATACAGGACTTTATGCGTTGATTGCACGGCGATGATGGTATTTCGTAAGGGTTCATACGGGTCCAGCTAGTGAGAAAACGGTTCTCGGGAAAACAACTATGTCGCGGCATTGAACGAATACGACGTCTACCGCTACAACAAAAACAGGAATCCTCGCAAGACTGCGGAGTAGAGAACAGGAGGAATAACATCCCGATACGGATAAGAAAAGCGCATATATAGACAGAGTGCACAATAAGCACGAAAGTATCTGCCCAACTGTTGCCTGCCCACATCAACAAAGACTAAACAGCAACCCGAAAGCCCCATACTTCCAAAACCCTAAACCTTTAAGCTTTCATTCTCGCTGCACGGCCTTCCAAAACAGAGCTCTGTTGAAACTCCTCTTAGCAGGGCCTCTTGGTCTTCACTGCTCTGGATTTTGCTGTCCTGTCTCTGCAGAATTCGGGGTCGGAGAGAATCCAGGGCTTGGGATGTTAGGCTTCGGGATTTTGGCTTTAAGGCTTGATGTAGAGCCCTGATGAATACACCCTCTCCCCTTAAAAGGGATTATGGTGGGGATCCTAATAGTTAAGGCCGTTTAAAGAGACGGGGTGTAGGTAGTAACCCCCTTCACGCCCTAAACCCTAGCGCTCTATATTCGTTTTCAGTGATCTTCCCGATCACGCTGTGGATCGGCACAGGACAGCTCGCAAAGCAGCCCCGCAAGGGCAGTTTGGAGTGCACAAGCGTGGCTGCAACTACTACTCTACTTACCAGTACTGAGAGTGCCACTATTTCTTCTGCTACTACTACTACTGCTGCTGCTACTACTACTACTACTACTACTACTACTGCTACTACTACTACTGCTATTATTACTCCTACCACACCTAGTTATAATAATAACACTACTAGTATTCCGAATATGAATATAGCAATAATAATATTGCAAGACCATACAAAAAACAACTGCTATGTGCTACTGATACTGCCACTGCTACTTGCGGCGATGGCCACGACGACTGCGCTACTGCTCCTGCGACCAGTGCGGACACAGTTGCTACTACAGTGCTGCTGTTCCTATGCCTTTTGCCAGCAGCAAACCCTGAACCCTAAACCCCAAAACCCTAAACCCTAAACCGAACCTGAATAAAGAACCCTAACTCATTTGAAGTAGCCTCAAAACGGAACCCTGAGTTGAAAAAACTCCGCCTGGTACAGAGGACCCTCGCGTCGTACCGGCCTCCACCAAACTACCCTCCTCCCCCGTGCCCTAAATAGAAGGTATCTATTCCGGGTACCGCTGGGTTTGGGGTTTAGGGTTTAGGGTTTAGGGTTTGCCGTGATAGGGCTGAGGGTTCAGGGCGTAACGTTTTCTTGTGGGTTAGTGGCCCGTTTCCTGCAGGGCCTGTGCTCAGGGATTACAGCGTCTGGTCAAGTCTCTTGATTTCTATGTAAACCTCATATGACCCTGTAACATGGTAGACTAAACCCTAAACCCTAAACCCTAAACCCCAAACCGTACGAGACCCCCTAAACTAGACAAAGTAGGTAGTTCCCAGCCATTCTGCCAACTCCAACTGCGTCCTGGAGGAGACAAAGAGATTCGGCCAGACAACCAGGATACGACCCGGCGCTGGGAGAAACCCTAAACCCGGTTTAGGGTTTAGGGTTTAGGGTTTAGGGTTTAGTGAAACCCGTGGACCATAAACCCTAAACCCTAAAGCCCTAAAACCCTAAAACCCTAGACTCTGAAACCCTAAACCCTAAAACCCTAGACTCTAAAACCCTAAACCCCTAAACCCTAAACCCCTCGACCCTAAAGCGAATGGCTCAAGAAGAGGTGTAAGCTTCGAGGATGTGGGGTCGGGTATGTCATGCTCAGAGTTTGGGTCTGGGATTGGGGTTGAGGGTGTCGGGTTTAAGGGTTTTTGCTTTGTAAGGTTTAGGGTTTAGGGTTTAGGCTGGAAGACTCTTTTGCATGGGTGCAGGGTTTGGGGGTAGGGTTGGGGTGGAGGGTAGGGTTTGGGTGGAGGGCGTAGGGTTTACCGTTGAGGGCTCAAGATTTTGCCAAGGCTGACCCGCGCATGCGTTCAGGGTTTAGGCTCTAGCGTTCAGGGTTTAAGGTTTAGGGCTTAGGGTTTGCATCTACGAGAAACTGTGCTCCAAGCCCTGCATGCCAACGTCTCCCAGTCGTCAGATGCGTGTCCAAACTGTGTAACTGTTTCATATCGGGACTGAGTTCTGAAGTACTCAAGGAGATAAGTGTCTAAGCTTTCATTCCAAAGTGCTTCCTGCACGGAAACAAGACCCAAAACAGATAAGCTACAGTGCTCAAACGGCCTAAAGCCCCTAAACCCTAAACCCCTAAAGGGACCTCGAGTACACTACTCCAGAACCCAGAGACTTAAACGAAATGGTGCAAGCTGCCAGTTCGCCGCTTGCGGCTTGCTGCGGTGAAGAACGTGAAAAGCCGTGGTCACCCCACGCTCCGGTAGCAAGACTAGAAAAGGGTCTAGGGTTTAGGGTTTAAGGTTTAGGGTTTAGGGTTTAGGGTTTAGGGTTTAGGGTTTAAGGTTTAGGGTTTAGGATTTAGGGTTTAGGGTTGACTACAGCTTCGAGGGTCAGAGTCGGAGCCCGAATCTGCCCCGTAACCCTCAACACCTCAACACCTCGAAACCCTAAAGTTAAAGGAAACTACAGGTGGGGAGTTTAGTGTTAGGGATATTGGAGTCTCTGGGTCACGTCAGGTGGTCTTATCGTCTCATACGACGGATGCGAGCTCTCTGGAGACTGGGATGGCCATCCCAAAACACTTCATATGGGTGGTTGTCAAAATTATGGTCCCGTTTTGGGTCCTTATTATAATACGGCACCTATTATTTAGGGTATCCCAAAAGGGACCATAATTTTGACAACTACCCATATAGGGGCCTCACTGATTAGAACGGGGCTGTAGGGTCCATCATAGTATCGATGGGGAGCACTAGGGAGTACTATTGCTAATTGTTTGATTATTTGGGCCCCTATATTGGTGACTTTTCTTGGCACCGGGCAGCCTAGCCATTTCCGGAAAGAACAGCGGAACGGACTTTAAACAACTTTCGTCATGCTGTAATTCTGGCGCCAATCACAAGGTATGAAGGCAGCCAATTCAAGTCTTGATACGCAATTGAAAAAGCTGCAATGCAGAACAAAACTGGAAAGTCAAAACCCCTTGTAAAAACAACTTCCGCGGCGCAGGTGACCTCGGATGGCCAGGTGCTGCCGGGACGTCCCGAGAGGGCCCTAAACGGACCTCGATCGTCGGTGCCTTCCAGCTACCCGAGTGTGGAACTGGATGAAGGTCCGCTCCACCGGACACACCGACGAACCGTAGGAAACTGCCCGAGCCCACTCCTGAGTGGCACCCGTTTTTTGCTATTCTCAGTCTCTAACAAGGAAAGAGACAAAGTAGTAGGGGGAAAAAAAGGGTGCTGCCATATCGCCTAGACTCCGTGCTCAGCTCGCTGATGCTCTCGAGGTCGTCGTCATCAATAGCCGAATCTGTCGTCTGCGAGGTGCTCTCGGATCTCTCATGGGGCCCATTCTGCGCCTTTGGGGCCACCGCGCTGTGGTCCGAAAAAGCCTGGGGACCCTGCTGCATCGGTGCTAGAGGCTGGGGCAACAGGGGCTGCATGGGCCTCATCTGCAGCTGCAGGGGCTGAGAAGGAGCTGTGGGCAGGAAGCGTAGGGGCTGCATGGTGGTCATTGGCATCATCATCGGCACCGCGATGAACGTCGGAGAAGTGCTGGTAGCCGGGTTCGCTGGACTCGCTGAGTTGCCTTGGGAGGAGGAACCCCAAACCCCCAAAAACCCCAAACCCTAAACCCTGAACCCGAAACCCTGAACCCGAAACCCTGAACCCTGAACCCCAAAACCCTAAAAACCCTGAACCCTGAACCTCAAACCCTAAACCCTGAACCCTGAACCCTGACCCCCCAAACCCCAAAAACCCTAAACCCTAAACCCTGAACCACAAAAGCCCTGAACGCCAAAACCCTACACCCTAAACCCTGACCCCTAAACCCTAAAACCCTAAACCCTAAACCCCAAACCCCAAACCCTAAACCCTGAACCCTGAACCCCCAAACCCGGAATCCCTCTGAGTGCCTTGAGCCATGCCCGGAGAAGAACTTCCATGGTAGGGCGTGGGCAGCGATGCGCAGGGCGAAGAGGAAGCCTGGGCTTCTGATACCCAGAGACTCCAGGGTTTAGGGTTTAGGGTTTAGGGTTTAGGGTTTAGGGTTTAGGGTTTAGGGTTTAGGGGAATATACCTTAAATCATATAATTTAAGGTATATTCCTTTATTAAGGGATATTGGAGTCTCTGGGGGGAATCTCGGGTTCGGGGCTTTGGGTGTGGGGTTTAGGGTTTAGGGGTTTAGGGGTTTAGGGCTTTAGGGGTTTAGTTTAGGGTTTAGGGTTTGGGCTTCGGGCGGTGGGTGCAGGGTTCTCTAAATCAGGGTCCTTCTAGGGTTCCTGCAGTATATCTAGGGCATTTTCAGGTGGGTAGTTACCGTTATAGGAGCCTTATAGAAGGTCTACATACCTTATGGAGGCCTTATAGAAGCCCTATATACCCTAAACTCCCCACCTGTCGTTTCCTTTAATTATAGGAGTGACACGTGGTTTTGACGATCCCTGATTCGAAGAACTTCCCATCTCGGTTGGAGGGTAGTTTTGAATGCATGCGCTTGTCTGTTCATATCCACTATTGATTCGTTTGATTAGTTAAACCCTAAACCCTAAACCCTAAACCGTTTTAGGGGTGTAGGCTTTGTTTTGGTCTAGAGCTTCGGGCTCGGGGGTTTTGTGTTTTCGGGGTTTGGTTTCAGCGGTTTCGCCGTTGAGTGCCGGACCTGGGGTGGGCTTGATTCTCCCCTAAACCCCTACACCCCTAAACCCTAAACTCTGAACCCTAAACCCATAAACCCGAAACCCTAAATCCTAAACCACTACACCCTAAGCCCTAAACCCCAAACCCTAAACCCTAAACCCCTAAACCCTAAACCCCTAAACCCCTAAACCCTAAACCCCAAACCCTAAACCCGAAACCGGGAATTCGATTCTCAGGGTTGAGGGTTGTAGGATTGGATTCTTGGAGTGCTGGCAGCTGGGTTGAGAGTTTAACGGGTTTAGGCTTTGTTTTTTTTTTTTTTTTTTT